GCCAAGTACTTATAGTCTAAAACTGTTTTGCTTTTCCTTGTTCACAAAGAGCAAAAGCCTCTTCTAGTACATTAAGGTCGAGAAAAATGTTCTACATACGCTAATAAAAAATATGCCTGAAATTTAAGAAGTTTTGCGGGTAACAGTGTCTGGAGAGGTAAATAAAGTTATGCATATATTAACACAGATTTTGTACATTCTATCGACATCGTGCTATCTGCTTTATTTCTTTTTTTTCTAAACCGCACAGAATTGACGCAGACAGATATTTTTAAACCAGGATTCATGAGGTTGAGCATTGGAGATCTATTATTCAACTGAACGGGATAAATTTTAGTGCACTGCTGGTTTCAATGGGGAAAAAGATTAAATGGTGTATTACGATCAAAAATAGCGAAGTTTAAAACTTCAAGTCCGTATCTGGTATTTGACTGGGGGGGGGGGGGGGTCCTTAAATTCGTTCCAAATGTGTGTGATGTTTTGCAAGGTCGCAAAATCTGTTTCCTGTTCAGCTCCGATTCGTCAGCATATGAATATATTAAATACAAACGAGTAAAATATTAATATACTAACATAAATGTGTTCAGTATATGCAAAGATGCATCTATTTGCATAATTTAGAATAATAGAAATTTAGAAAATAATCTTATTCTTTCTTTTTGATCTCAAGTTTCAATGGGAAAATTACGCTCTCACGCATTACTTGTACGTAGCAAAAAAGAGATTCTAAGGAAAGGTTTTGTCTGTCTGCCCCTCTCTCTGTTTCACGCATGGTTGAAGATAAAGGGCACTGGCACAATTGTCATAGAGAGACGACGAGGCCTCATAAAAGCGCCATCTAGATCGACCCAAGGTCAGGACACCAGAGCTATGAAGCAGCAGCGCCTAACTGTATCTGGCTCGATCAACAACCAAACGTTTGCCTTTATTAATCACCTAATATTGATAATATTTTGGTGTCTACCCACGTGGTTAAGGTTATTATATACTCACGTTGCATGGTTTTCTTGAATACAAGAATAAATACTTTCAAGGCTATAGGACGAATACAATTATAGTATTTAATATATATATATATATATATATATATATATATATATATATATATATATATATATATATATATATATATATATATATATATATATATATATATATTGTTACATGTTCTATTTTTTTATTTTGCTTCGATGAGTGTGAATACATAATATCTACATGTGTACATCAAACAGGTTAATTAAAAAATTAGAACATTCAAATTGTTCCCTGATTTTTTTTTTCTTTTATTTACAAAAATATTTTTTTTAAAATTGTGAATAAAACGTCAAAATATCAAGAAGGTATGCGAAATGTATTTTATAATGTAAAATTTTAAAACAAAAATCACAGAAGCTGTGCGATTTGAATTTGCACATATACCACCGAAATAATAGTTAAGTACAAAAAAACGAATAAGAAGTGTTTGATGAAAGAAGTACCTCTTATAACCGTGACAAGGTTTATACACTCCTCTCCTCTGTCCCCTTCCCTAGCTTTCCAAAAATTTGTTATTTTTTTTATTTATTAAAAGATACACATGTAGATTGTGTATACTGTAGAGGTCACAGGGCAAAATCGTTTTAATTTTCTGTAATATGATTAAATTGTTTGGAAAGCATTATATTTATCTCACACTGGCACATTTCAGTTCTATAAATGCTTTAAAATATGAATGGCACTTAACGGAAAGTCAGCCTAAACTGAACACCAATGTGAAAATTAAAAAAATTGCTACTATTTTATTTAATTTTTAAATTTCCATATTAAGAAAAAATGATAATAATAAAAACCTCATTGTCACAAATGTATTCCCAAACAGCGCGGTACTCATGAGCAAAACAATAATCGCGAAAGAATCATGCATGTTCTTTAAAAATAGGAACAAGTCGCGACATAAAATCCAGAAACCTTTGTGTACGAATAAAACTGTATTCTAAGGCATTCCTTTTGCGTTATTGGTACACATATAGATATTTATATATATCAAGAACAATGACCAGCTTCTATTCTAGGTTTTAATTAAGATAGAAATCTTGAAGTCACCAAGTCATAATCGTCTGCAGAATCAATCTGAAGAACGAATTCAGAGATTGACGTCAGCAAACCCACCAATATAATACATAACAGACGAAAATAGTTACAAGTCTCAATAAATAAACCTTATGCAAACGGCATCGATCAAGTTTTAAATGATTTTCTAAGATAAAAAGATACATTTCAATGAAACTGTCTAACTAGCATTCATATGATTTTGTAATTATTCACGGTCATATAAATCAAGGACCTGGACGCGTGATTTGTTTTAAGAATGACAATTAAGCGAACTTCTAGAACCCGACACCCATTGACCTATATGACAGTTTTGATAGCCTCTCCATCAGAAACAGCACCCGGAAACCAGCTCTAATATGTGGGCTTAACTTCTTACATTACCGTCAGATTTTCCGTGTATAAAAGTATATATCTTCCAGGTCTTCCCTGGAGATCAATACCTCTTCTTAATACAGTTATCATGTTCCTTGTCTAATGACTTGCAGAATTTTTGCTGCAGAACACTCCTCTCTTTATAAAATCGGTCAGAGCCATAAGGAGTTTTTGTTACATTTTGTACGCCAAGGAGCTATCTCTTTGTCACTGTATCGGGTTAAGCTCAATGGATATAATTTTGAGAGATGGAATATAGTGTTAATTGCTTGGTATTTAGCTTGTTTTCTCAACTATACAACAATTTCACGAATCAATACTATATTTATATCTTCGTGAGAAAAACAATCCTTTGCTGTTTTAAATCATGAGCCATACACATGTACTTGACTATAACATTTACTTTGGTCTCAAATATTGTGTGAGCAAAGTAGAAAATGATCATCACAAACTTTTTTTTCAGTAGAAATCTAAATATGTCGTATTCAAAAGAATAAGACATAGTTAAACATCCCGTATCATTCCTTACAAAGAGGCCCCAGGGCCATAAGGTAATTCCACCCCAGTGTGATGTCATACATCCTTGCAAAATCTTTTATTAATTCAAGTTCGTGCCAATAGAAAGATATCTTTTTGGAAGAATGTAATTAAAAATATTGTTTAATAAAAGAACTTCAAACACAATATTTACTATAAATAGTCATTTTTTTCATTAAAAAAAATTTAAAAGGGCAATTAATAATACTTACTCATGTATCTAATCATAAATTTCAAAGATAGAATTACAGAGTTTACGCACTTTTACTATATGATCAATAGAGCCTCGGTCTAACATCAGAACCCCTGACCCAGGGGCCATGAATTTCACAAATTAGGTAGATTCACCCTTGGTCATCATAACCATGCACTTAGCAAAAATAGACCTGTTCATGGCGTTTTTGCGAATCTTTGTTATTTATGTCTATGGTACAGTAATGACCTTTCATCAACCCTGTGTGTATGGTTTTTGCTTTTTATTCGCGAAAATTACGACACAAATATCCACGCTAATAGTCCCACAAAGACTATACAAACGATAAACTCATGAAATTTTCAATTCAATTTTTTTTTAATTAATTGCTTTAGATACACGTTTACAGTCATGATGACGTACGTGCAAATCCAAGGACATTCCAAGGACAATCATCGAACGTGGCTGATTTCCCCCCCTAAAATTTATACATACAATTTTAAAAATAATCATTTTGTACTTTCCATTTTAGCTTTAATGATTCAGAAGTCTCCTCTCATCTCGACTTGTGATTAATTTCCGTCATAACTGTAACGCGTTCACACTGAGGTAAACCTTCACACATATGGGTCAAGGAGGAAATTTCATTTAAAAATACTGAAAGACAGAATCGAATGAATTTCCTTGTTGAGATTTCATAACGTCAAATCTTTGATACATTTATTCTCTTCTTTGATTTGTAAGGCAGTGCATTTTCCCCTGCTTCTTGCTGCAGACCTTGTATTGCGACAGGCTTCAGAAAATTTCACGCAGTTAAAAATACATTAAGATCAAAAAAGGGATGTTTTATAAGACAGAGAATAATTAATCATGTTAAAAATAGGCTAGGCCAATTCGTGTCCTGTAAACTTACAAAACGTTTTACATTATAATTAACTGAAATTAACATTTTTTTTCTTTTAGATCTGCACTTTTATCGTGACCAACAAAACAATTTTGTTTATCTCTTGCGGGATCAGAGAGGAAAAAACAGAGCCTTTTAAACACCTACAGTCTTAAATCGAGTTTGCTGTGTTTAATATTACCATGACGGGATGCACTTTAAAAAGCAGTCAAATTACTGTTTTTCATTTTTTTTTTCTAGGACTTCCTTTTTTTAAAAAAAAAAAAAAAAAAAAATCACAGTAGATATACATTGTACCAACATCAATATTTTCAAGTGTGACTTTTTTTAGGAGCATCATTACAGGAAGCCTTGATAAGCGGACACTGAAGTTATTATGGGATCTACTACAGAATTCCTATTGATCAGGAGAAATGAATGAAATTTTGTCGTTACCAATAACTTAAATCCTGATCAAATCCTTTAATTCATTCGACCCCAACGCCACCTATACGATTCCCCCACGGTCACATACTTCGATCTTATCCTAGCGAGGTCGAGGCTAGGCACACAATACTTCGACAATGCAGAGCTATAAATGATGTTTGTCCACTTCGAGGCTCTGTAGCCGTTTTTGCAACTATATTTCAGTTTATCGTGAATTTAGTCACGTAATTGGATTTATTTTTTCCAGACCTTTGTGACAAACTTTAGAATGCATATACAAACACACGCAGTATATCCACAAAAGCACCCCCCCCCCCCCCCCAAATGCAGTGGGAACCACAATTCATTTCAAAGTTAAAACAAGCAAAACAAAACAAAACAACAACGTGCCCAAACAGTTCGACAACCGGATTTTGATTAATTATTCGTATTTAATATTAGAGCAATCTTCACACTGAAATGAGAATAACATACCCCAACATTTTCCGCTTTTAAGCATGAATTAAATGATTATGCATACATTATCTTCAAAACATGGAAATAAATATTTTGACCAAAAAAATGTATACTGGACATACACTGGAAGAACTGGGCTGTTAAACGGAAGATAATCCACTCCCGTGACATAGCGTCATATCCGGGTCTGCTAAGGAGGCGAAGTCATACAAAACAAAACTCTGGACCACAATAATAATGCAAGTGAATCTATAAATATTTAACAGTTCACGCTTCTTGAAAGATAAATAAGTTTATGTATTCTTCCGAACATTTCATGTTGAAATCAGAAAAAAGTTTCATCATTTCTCTATAATTTTGTTCTCTATAATTTTGCTAATGTTTCGCTTCAGTCTTTGATTAATTTGCTATTGGAATGACCTACATACACCATTAAGATGTAAAATTCATGAGTTTATTTATCCCTCTAGTAATAGAATCCCTAAACGGGGAAGCTGGTCAAGGATCAATAACAATCACCCTCACGACCTTCCACGGTAAAAGTTAGGCCTAAAAAATGGTACACCATGACGTCCATGATTGACTTTCTGCACTTGGTTGTTCGTCCGTGCTGGTGTCATCCGATCCCAATTCGCTACTTTCCAGGTCGGATTCGACATCCGAATGCCGCGGAGGTTTGGTAAGCCTGGGATAATACGAGGGCTTAACCTGCCTGGCGTCAGCACGGATATACCTGAAACAGTTGACACATTTAGTTTGCAGTTTTGTTTAGATTAAGTGTACAATACTATAAGATAAAATCCTTTAACTGTATAAAAATAAACTAATGACTTTTTTTCCTCTAGATGGCAATGGGGCAAAAAACAGCTAAAGAGGTTATTCAATGCACACTTTCAACAAGCATTTATATAATTCTCTATATCATCATGTAGTACAAACGACTCATGTATGTATGGTCCTTTCTCTTTATAGAGTCTTTTCTTTTTATTGAAACACACTAAAAACCAAAAATCATGCCGGAAAGTGACAATTCAGTATTACACGAAGTTATTCCTCATTAGATGGCAAGTCAAAGTCAAAGCTCTCTCTTTGTAGAGGCGATTTTTTTGGTTTGGTCCCCTTTTTGAAATCACAAAACGGAATTACTTTCATATTTCGGGTGTGTCATAGCTTGATTTGTGATCATAAATGGAAGCCTCAAATCTATTTAGAAATTGGGCCAAATGTCGATCTGGCTAATCTCACTCCTTTCCTCTCCAGAGATCTTCATCTCTCTCTCTATACCTCACATACTGCACTTAATATGCTTTCAAATGACCATCTTTTCATATCCCCCCAAATAATTATGATGAGGATGGTTGTAGATTTACCTTCTGTATCATCGAATTCTACACACCGTAGCTCATCTTTTTGAATTTATTCTTACAATTATTATAATTCACACGTTTAATCCATTTTATATCTTTAAAACTTCCTATTTTTTTCTTCAATTCTTGTAATAGTAACTTTATATGATACAAAAGAAATATATACTGTGCCCAACTGATAGAAATAGAGTAATTTATTATCAAAGATAGATATGATTAGCTAAAGATTTGCACTGCACTTGTTCAAGAGGTTTAGAATACTCTACACCGAATACAGGAATAGGAGAGCTCTACGAAACTTTTTAATTATAGACAGGGTTCATTTAAGTTCGGGTTGTAAAATCCTTTGTCTTAGCTTGGTACAAGCCGGCAATCACGTTATAACAAATTCCTGCTATGTCACCGACAATACCAAAAAGGCGAGGCCTTAACGCGATCTTAAAAAAAACTAATTTAATATCAAGGGCATGACAACATGGAATCTTATCCGGATCCAAAAGTCAATCATTATAGGTTTCTGAATATGACACACTTTATTTCCCGATATTTATCAAATACATGATTTTAAAGTCATGTTTTTTCTGTAAGATAAGTAGATTTGAAAAGAACCCTTAACCCACCCATTTCAAAAGTCATTCAATCATTACCTGAGCGATGAAGGGGAAAAGGATATCTAAATTGAGAGGCGTAATTAGATTGGCTGATTTTTTTTCCTTCATGCTACATCAAACGTGCACTTTTACTCTTGAAAAACTGGGTTAATTCAGTAGCTTCTCCATTGACAGCGGAGTCAAAAATAGAAACAGATTTCATTTTTTACGATTTTGACATCTGCACATAGGTCCACTAAAATCATAATTATTATTCAAACATATCCAATAAGCACAAGCTATTTGCGTAGGAATGATTAAAAATGTTGAAAGGCGTGGGCTTTTTTTTTCCATCACATCAATATTAGATGATATTAACTTGCAAGACAAGCAAATGTAGTATGGTACAAATGTACCTCTCTGTTTAAGAGAACGTATGTCATTAATGGCATCTTTAGGAATACAGTACCTGCAATGTAACCATACATTAAGCCAACTTCCTATCATTAACCGTGTTAATAAAAAGCGAGATCTTTCACCCCAATTCTAGCAGTGACGTACACAAAATGTCGTTCACCATATTCTTCAGTGATAGCGAACACTTCCCCGGTGGATCAATAAAATCAGGAACAAGGCCAGTAAAACATACAGTATCAAGAAAAGACCGAAAAAATAGCATGCCTGCACGAGAGGGGAATGGGAAAATAAATGAAGCAAGGAAGTCCCAAGGACAGGAGTATCTGTCCATTCATCACCGCTTGCATGTTCTCACCTCACCCCGAGGGATAAGCCTAGTGAATGTTTGATGTTACATTGAATAGACAAATGATACACTGCAAACTCATTGCGAAGACGTGGGTTTTCAGTTGAATCAAGGGTGGTTCAAAGGAGTTATATCATCATCCGTACACAAAGGTTAAAACATCTTGATTCTCCTTCGTTTGCACATACATATCCCTTCAAGCTCCATTGATTTTGCGACTATAAATATATCGGGTTTCTAACCTTCCCGAAAATAAATGTTCTTATTTAATTCAAAATGTATGATTTACTGCATGTAGTCAGACTGGTAACCTTGAATGCGTCTGATGACCTCCCTTGTTCATTGCTCTTTGTTGTAATTGCAGATGTCGAGATTGCGCGGGTCGCCGACCAGACACGGTTGGCCGATTGTCGTCTGTTCTAAAGGATGTTGCTCCGACCCAATCGCCTTCAAAGATGTTCACTTTTGTCTCAAAAGGCTTTGCTATGTTTTACGATCATAATTAATGGTTGTTATTTTCAGACATAATTTGGGAGCGGAATGTTTTTGTTTGTGTGTGTTTTAGGGCATTAACACTCTTTCAAGGCCCTACACAAGGACACAATTTGAACAGAAGTACAAATCCACTAAAACTTTTTTGTTGTTGTTTGTTGGGTGTGAAACTCCTATTTTGTGCTTCAAGTATCCCAGCGTCTCTCTTTTTTCTTATGTAATCAAACGTTCAATAGTTTGCTCAATTCAGGTCTAATATCATTGATTATGAATTGGTTTCCATGTTTTCTCGCATGCTATTTCTTTCTCTTTAGAAAGTGGACATGCTTTAGTCCAAGCTAAAGCCTGTCCATTTCTCCAAAAAGAATAATTTATGTCTATGATCAGTTGTCGTAATAAAACATAAATAGGTATATATTGCGACCTTACATAATTGTTCATGAACATTTTTAACAGAGCCAGTGCAGAAGGGTTGTTAACAACAGGGAATTTCCAGTCATAAATTTTTATCAATATCTCGTCCTGATGCCCTGAGCAGGAAATGCAGAAGACAAGTGCATATTGGTCATTTTCAGTAAACCAAATAAAGGCAGGAAAAAATGCTTATTAATCAAACTACGACAATTTGGCGTAAGCATGAATTGACTGGATATTTTCTACCTTTAAGGTCTGCGTTTTGGTCTCAAATATCCCTGAATGTTACGGACCTTTTATTATAACCCATTTGTTGAATTATTTACGATCTTTTGGTGAGATAATAATACTTTTACCTGGAGATTAAAGACCTGAGTTGGAATCTTGACATTTCATTAACATTTCACAAATATACATTATGAACAGAGAAATGGCTTTTCCGCCTCATGTAAGCCGGGATGGCACAAAAACCAGTGTTTGCCTCATACCAGTATCTTCATTTCCCTACGTATGAATTCTGAAGGACATCATATATTCTTTTTTTTTATCTTTCGGTGACGTATATTCTTCTGAAGTAATAGGAAATCTTTTCAGTTATTTAAAATATTGACGTCAAGAAAAACTTACAAATGCAGCATGTATTCGGTTTTTGGTTTTGAGTTTCAATTTCTTAAACAATATTTATTTACAAACATATAAAGCTTGATAAATAAATTAGGTAAGTAAAGTATATTTACAAAAGACTACAGCCTATTTAAACTGGAATTAAAACAAGAGGCCCATGGGCCACATCGCTCACCTGAGTAACTTTGGCCATGCTGTTCATTACCAGACTTCCCCCCTTGTAATACCTATTGACCTATTGTGGCCCCGCCCTACCCCCAGGGGCCATGATTTGAACAATTTAGAATCTACACTACCCCAGGATGCTTCCACATAAGTTTCAGTTTTTCTGGTCCAGTGGTTCTTCAGAAGATTTTTAAAGATTTTTCCTATATATTTCAATGTAAAACTTGGGATTCCCTATTGTGCCCCCCCCCCCCATCCCCGGGGTCATGATTTGAACAATTTAGAATCTACACTATCCAAGGATGTTTCCACATATGTTTCAGCTTTTCTGGCTCAGTGGTTCTTGAAAAGAAGATTTTTAAAGATTTTTCCTATATATTTCAATGTAAAACTTGTATTCCCTATTGTGGCCCCGCCCTACCCCCGGGGGTCATGATTTGAACAATTTAGAATCTACACTATCCAAGGATGCTTCCACATAAGTTTCAGTTTTTCTGGCCCAGTGGTTCTTGAGAAGAAGATTTTTAAAGATTTCTCCTATATATTTCAATGTAAGACTTGGATTCCCTATTGTGGCCTCGCCCTACCCCTGGGGGTAATGATTTGAACAATTTAGAATCTACACTACCCCAGGATGCTTCCACATAAGTTTCAGCTTTTCTGGCCCAGTGGTTCTTGAGAAGAAGATTTTTAAAGATTTCTCCTATATATTTCAATGTAAAATTTGGATTCCCTATTGTGGCCCCGCCCTACCCCCGGTGGTCATGATTTTAACAATTTAGAATCTACATTACCCCAGGATGCTTCCACATAAGTTTCAGCTTTTCTGACCCAGTGGTTCTTGAGAAGAAGATTTTTAAAGATTTTTCCTATATATTTCAATGTAAAACTTGTATTTCCTATTGTGGCCTCGCCCTACCCCCGGGGGTCATGATTTTAACAACTTAGAATCTACATTACCCCAGGATGCTTCCACGTAAGTTTAACTTTTTCTGGCCCAGTGGTTCTTGAGAAGAAGATTTTTAAAGATTTTTCCTATATATTTCAATGTAAAACTTGTATTTCCTATTGTGGCCCCGCCCTACCCCCGGGGGTCATGATTTTAACAATTTAGAATCTACACTACCCCAGCATACTTCCACATAAGTTTCAGCTTTTCTGGCCCAGTGGTTCTTGAGAAGAAGATTTTTAAAGATTTTTCCTATATATTTCAATGTAAAACTTGGATTCCCTATTGTGGCCCCGCCCTACCCCCGGGGGTCATGATTTTAATAATTTAGAATCTACACTATCCCAGGATGCTTCCATATAAGTTTCA